CTGAACAGAGGCAGTGAATAGAGAGAGAGAACATACAGCGAGTAGCAGCGTTGATCCTCTTAAGACACTCATTGATGCCTTGTCAGTCTGTGTCCAAATTAAGCTGAGCTTTACGGTATTTATAGGGAGACTCCTGTGCTCTTCTAGAACTCCTGCTGTGACTTTGGGGAAGGTTCTAGGACAGACGTATTACTGCTGCATGAAAGGGCAAACTCTGGACTGGTGTTTCATTTCGTCAGCTGTGTTTCCGTGGCTTCCTATAGTGAAGTTGTTTTTGTTTGTGTATATACACTGTAAACCCAAACAGTTGAGGTAACTCAAACCATTTGAGGAAACCGATTGCAACAAACATTGCAACAAATGTCTGCAGGACAGTGCATATTTTAGATACATGACAATAATTCTTTTTAAATGATGTTTTAAGTTTTGTTGAATTAAAAAGTGCACCTATACAGCTATATTTTCCTTGTTTTTACACATTAGAAATTGTGGCTAAGTACTACTTCTTTGGTGTGGTCAGAGATAAATTTGGTAAATCCTTAATTTTGAGCCCTGAAAAGTCATGTGAAATAAAAACTGATTGCATTGTGACACAACCCATTTGCTCATGCACACTGAGCAAGCTAATACACAATACACACAAGAAGTTAAATGAATGAGAAGGCATGTAGACATAACACAACATCTAAATCAAGTAATTTAGCATTTTACGGTCAAATTTAAGCAAAACATATTTTCCCAACAAGAAAAGTGTGGCTAGTGAAAATGGGGAGTGGCTAGTAATGTTGGAAATCTACTAGCCACAGGGGCTGGTGATCAAAAAAGTTAATGTCAAGCCCTGGATGTATATATTGCGATCGTGATTTTCGAAAGTATTACATTGCTAAACGTTTATTATTACCATTTGACGAGTCTCCCTTATACAGTTTAATAGAGCGCTTCGACTCGGAAGCCGCTTTACGTAACGCCACACTTAACAAACAGATAGGGTTCAGCTGCACGTCAAGCTCTGCATTCTGGTACCCTTTTGTTGTGCTTTGTACTCTTTCGAAAGGGTACCCAAAAAGTGGTACTGTAAGGTTCACTTTTAGGTACTTTTTGACAGTGGAAATGGCCATAAAAGTGTACCGTACGGGATTATACCACTCAGTGGAAATGGGCCATAAGTTTATCTGTCGAGTGGAGAATGCTCTGAATAGCATTTTAATGCTGTTTATAAATCCTTGGCTTATAGAAGTGCCTTATCAGTCACCTTTGATGAAATATTGGAATAGTTGTCTATTTTAATGTATATTGTGTGGTTTGTATTCACTGTAAAAAATAATAATAATAATAATAAAAATTAGTAAAAAAAGTCAAATAACTGGCACCTATGGCTGCCAAACAAAAACCATTAAACTACGGTAAAATGTCTTTGTTGAAATAAGGTGCAAAAATAATTTATCTACAGATATTGTCATTAAAATGTTTACAAAGAAACACTGTTATTTTACAGACTTTTTCTAGATCAAATACGTTCAATAAAGTTACACAATAAGTTACTATTGGTTTTTAGTTGCTCTTGGGTTCTTTAAAGAACTATTTAAAAAAAACAAAAAATGTAAATTTACATATCAATACATAAAATGTTTAGAATGTTTTGTGATGTTATTTACTGTAGTAGTTACAACCACCAGCAATATAATCCTTGTAGATTGTAGTAAACATGCATGTAGTAAAGACATTTTACCATAATTTTATGGTTTTTGCTTGGCAGCCGTTTATTTATTTTTTTTACAGTGTTTAAATATAAAAATACATTTAAAAGTAAAACTAATGAATGTTTACTTTAAAATTACAAGAATAATAAAAAATTGTTAGCATTGTCATAAACCCTAATATAGCACACATTAAAATTTATTACTTTAATTTTACATGATTTTAAATGTACTTAAAAAAACAGGAAAAAACACAGTGGAAAAAATACAGCAATTTACTGTATAAAACAGACAAATTGCTGTAATTTGTCATTAATTATATAATATATAAAATAACAGTCAAGCTGTTAATCTACAGATATTGTTTGAAATTAGATAAACTACAGATAAAGTTTGCAATTAGTTTTAGGTATATTTTAAAATAACAGAAAAAAATACTGTTTAAATAATACTGTAATTTCCCTGTATAAAAAAAACAAAAATGTCAGTAATTTGTCTTTAATGATAAAGTACCTAAAATGAAAGTCAAACTGTTAATTTAGAGAGATTGTTTGTCATTTTACTAAGTTTTGAATATAATTTGAAATTACAAAAAAATTCTGTAAAAAAATTAGAGATACTTTCTGTAAAATTAGTTTTTTTTTACAGTGTTGTTTTGTCTGTATTGTATACTATTGGACCTAGTGTCTGAAATAAAGAGAATAAAATATTTCAACATTTTCCCATAAAAGCAAAGTTTTACAGAGGATTAAGCATTTTCTTAGGATTTTCTATAATATTTATTTATTTTTACATAGAGAGAGAGAAAGAAAAAGTCTTATTTTTTTAGATTTTAATTTTGGTAACACTTTATTTTGATGGTCCATTTGAGTATTAGTAGACTGTCTGCTTAATATCTGTTGATACTGTTAATGCAGACATTTAACTGACTATAAGAAACCTTGCAAGTACATGTCAACTTACACTAACCATAACCCCAACCTAACAGTCTACTTATAATCTAATGAGAATTAATTGGCATGCAGATGCAATGTAACCTAAATTCAACAAACGGACCATAAAAATAAAGTGTGACCTTATTTTTTAATAAATCAAATAATAATTTTAAGCTCAATATTATTCGCCCTCTTAAGATATATATTTATTTGATTGGCTATAGAACAAATCACTGTAGTCAAATGACTTGTCTAATTATTCTATCTTGCTTATAGTTAAACTAATAACCCAGTTAAGCCTTTAAATGTCACTTTAGGCTGAAATATGGTGTCTTGCTAAATAGCTAGTCAAATATTGTGCACTGTCATCATGGCAAAGCCTGAATAAATTAGTTTTCCAGAAATCAGTTATTAAAGTATTGTGTTTTAAAATGTATTTTAAAACATTGTCTCTCCAATTAACTGCACTAGTGGGGAATATTTGAAAAAGAATTAAAAATTGACACAAGGACTAATAATTTTGCCTTCAACTGTAAGTATGCAGTCTTTCTTATACAGTTGAGGTCAGAATTATTAGCCCCCCTGATAATTTTTTCCCCAATTTCTGTTTAACGGAGAGAATATTTTTTTTCAACACATTTATAATCATAATAGTTTTAATTACTCATTTCTAATAGCTGATTTATTTTATCTTTGTCATGATGACAGTAAATATTATTTGAGTAGATATTTTTCAAGACACATCTATACAGCTCAAAGTGACATTTAAAGGCTTAACTAGGCTAATTAGGTTAACTAGGCAGGTTAGGGTAATTAGGCAAGTTATTGTATAACGGTGATTTGTTTTGTAATAATTTTGCTACTAATTTTGTCCTAAAAAAATGGTGTTTAAAAAATTAAAAACTGCTTTTATTCTAGCCGAATTAAAGCAAATAAGACTTTTTCCATAAGAAAAAACATTATCAGACATACTGTAAAAACTTCATTGCTCTGTTAAACATAATTTGGAAAATATTAAAAAAAGAAAACAAAAATTTAAAGGGGACTAATAAATCTGACTTCAACTGTATATGTTTCAAAGGTTTCAGGTTTCAAATGAAATGGGCATAGAGGGCTAAAGAACTGACTTGGTGAGAATTTGGTGCTAATATTTATGGTTATATGGGTCTTTTAAAGGGGTAATTAAATGAAATGCAGAGTTTTCACACTTTGGACTTTGTAGTTTCTTGCTGGGTCAAGTCAAAAGCTTTTCCTCAAGATTTATTTAGCATGTTTAGCATAACTCTCTTCAACAAACAACTGAGATAAATCTAATGGATAGAACCTAATGATGTGGAAACAAGCAACACCTCAGATTATGCAGCTTGATACACTTCTAAGTAGGGGCGTAACGATACACTCAAGTTACGATTTGATACGTATCTTTAATTTGACATATCTGGAATTTAGGACTGACGCGTCCATTATTTTAAAGATTTTCACTTAAATCAGAAAGTTAGGCGCTACTTTTAAGCCTAGCTACTTTTAGATGGAGATAATGTTGATTTTATTTTTACTTTAATCGTGAATCAACAGAACACTCAAGCTACCACAGACGCAATGAGCTAACAACCCTTTAGCAACCACGTAGCAACACTTACAGCAACATATGTCCTGGTATTAGTGCTTGGTAATAACCAATTACATGTCATTTGGATTATGTAATCAGATTATGGGGCAATACCGTGGGACAGTGGTTAGCACTGTCACTTTATAGCAAGAAGGTCACTGGTTCGAGTCCTGGCTGTGCCAGTTGGCATTTCTTTGTGGAGTTTGCATGTTCTCCTCGTGCTGGTGTGGATTTCCTCCAGGTGCTCTGGTTTACCCAGCCTGATCTCACGATGAAATTTAAGTATTTTACGGTTTGTCAGTTTAGTGGCTAATTCCGACGAATTCGTTCAGTCATACGAAAATGTACGATTTTAAAAAGGAGGCGTGGCACCTAACCCCACCCTTAACCACAACCGTCATTGGGTGATAAGCAAATCATACTAAATAGTACGAATTAGATCGTAAGAATTCATACAAATTAGCCACTAAATCAAAAAGTTACGAATTGCTGTGAGTTTGCGTTGGTTTACCTCACAGTCCAAAGACATACGCTATACAGTAAGTGAATTGAATAAAATAAATTGGCCGTAGTGTATGTATTTGATTGAGTGTGCATGGGTGTTTCCCAGTACTGGGTTGCAGCTGAAAGGGCATCCACTGCGTAAAACATATGCTGGATAAGTTTAAGGTTCATTCCACTGTGGCGAACCCTTATGAATAAAGGGACTAAGCTGAAGGAAAATGATTGAATGAATGAATTTCATTGTTTTGTTTTCAGAGTTGTCAATTTTCAAACCAAGAATGGTGCCACACCACTATACCTTGCATGTCAGGAGGGCCACCTGGAAGTTGTCCAGTACCTGGTGAAGGACTGCGGGGCGGAGCCAAGTATTAGAGCCAATGATGGGATGACACCACTGCACGCTGCTGCCCAGATGGGACACAACACTGTCATTGTCTGGCTGGTGAGCTGAAAACTGCTTCTATTATTATTTCTTTTATGATCTCAGTGGATTGGGGACAACATTGCTAACGGTTTTCGTGTGTTTTTTTTTGTAAAATCTTGTAAACCATATTTATATATTGTCAGTATTTTTGACCCCCAAAATAAGGAGAAACTCCATTAAACACATGTGAACTTAGTATATGTGTTAAGCTTAAGACTATTGGACTATATTTAATACACAAAGTACTCTGAATGATCATAAGGTCTTTACTACATAAGCAACATTAATTAGCATTACTAAAATCTTGCTAAAATAAATAATGTATGTTTATTAAATACGATGTATTCATTCATTCATTCATTCATTCATTCATTCATTCATTCATTCATTCATTCATTTTCCCTGGGCTTAGTCCCTTATTTATTAGGAATCGCCAAAGCGGAATGAACCGGCAAGTATTCCGGCATATTTTTATGCAGCGGATGCCCTTCCAGCCTCAATCCAGTACTGGGAAACACCCATACACTCTCACATTCACACATACACTACAGCCAATTGCAGAACATGCAAACTCCACACAGAAATGCCAACTGGCCTAGCTGAGACTCGAAAACTCGAAGAATTCTTGCTCTGAGGCTACAGTGCTAACCACTGATCCACTGTGCCACCTATGATGTATTGATGTGTTCAGTATATCATTAATCATTGCAGGCATACCACATTACGCTGAGTTTTGCCCAGTGCAATAAAAATCAAGGAGCTTTCATCTTTAAGAAAAAAAAAACACTTCACTTTTTTTGGGAAGTAGAGTAATTTTACTAGTCTCCTTAAGTAAAATAATTGAGTTTTGCTATTTTTGAATACATTCAGCCAATCTCTGCATCTGGTGGGAGCACTTTACTGTTATTAGCTTAGCATAAATCGCTAAATTGGATAAGAGCATTAGCATCTTGCACAAAAAAAAGTCTTAATATATCTGTAATGATGGATCAGGCGAAGAGGGATCCATTTGCAGCGTCTTTGTTTAAGTGAGGAGAGATAGACCGAGTGTTGATTAATAGCAGACAGTAACAAATGACAACACTCACTCAAAGTGGAATGACAAGCAGAGTCATAGGCAGGCAGCAACAATGCATAAGTGATTAGACAGTCGATGGTCAGAGCAGGCGGCATAGAATCACAATGGTAAACAGTCAAGAGTTGAGGCAGGCAGCAGAGAGTCGTGAGTTCCAACCTCTTGGAATTGAGCGCAGAGCAAATCAAGACTTTGTACTGTGTGACTAGAAAAGTTGGCTTATGTGTGTGTGTATGAGCTTTAGGTGACTAGCAATCAGAGTACCAAGAGGGCTTGTGGGAAATGAAGTTTGTTCATTGATTCATTCATTTTCTTTTCGGCTTAGTCCCTTTATTCATCCGGGGTTGCCACAGCAGAATTAACCGCCAACATATGAAGCATATGTTTTACACAGCGGATGCCGTTCAAGCCGCAACCAAACACTGGGAAACACCCATACACTCTTGCATTAACACACATACACTACGGGCAATTTAGCTTATTCATTCATTCATTCATTTATTCATTTTCTTTTCGGCTTATTCCCTTTATCAATCTGGGGTTATCCAACTTATCCAGCATATGTTTTACCCAGCAGATGCCCTTCCAGCTACAACCCCTCACTGGGACACATCCACACACACTCATTCACACTCATACACTACGGACAATTTAGCCTACCTAATTCACCTGTACCACATATCTTTGGACTGCGGGGGAAACCCGGAGCACCTGGAGGAAACCCACGCGAACGCAAGGAGAACATGCAAACTCCACACAGAAACACCAACTGACCCAGCCGAGGCTCGAATCAGCGACTATCTTGCTGTGAGACGACAACACTACCCACTGCGCCACTTCGTCGCCCGTTATTATCAGTTATTGGAAATTGATTATTATAACTATTATGTTTAGAAATGTTGAAAAAAATCTTTGAGGGACATTGTAGATGGTGCTAATAATTCGGAATCAACTAACTGTCATGGATTTATTTTCCTTTTTTTCATCTAACTTTCTAACTTTCTCCTGCAGATGAGTTTCACAGAGATCAGCCTGTCTGACAGAGACAATGATGGGGCCACTGCCATGCACTTTGCCGCCAGCCGCGGCCATGCCAAGGTTCTCAGCTGGCTTCTTCTGCACGGCGGGGAAATAATGACAGACAGCTGGGGTGGGACGCCTCTTCATGACGCAGCTGAGAATGGAGAGCTGGAGGTATGTAAAAAAAAGCGAAAAAAGTCATCATGAAAACAACTCTGTAATGTTTCTGGGATGTCTTGAATATGTTATAAACCCTTTTCACATTTCCGGGTTTCTCAGTAGCGGAGACCATCATGGTTGGCTTTACTTAGGAATGGGAGAGTACAACAAATATTTTTTTTTCACAACCCTATTCACTTAAATAATAAAAGAAAAACTCCTCGATGGTGTTGTCAAGACTTTCACAAAAAGGGGAAAAATAGTGTGATACTGATGACGGCAGCCAGAGGAGAGAAAAACGTCATATTTACTGTCAGCCCCATAGATGCGGCATTACAAACGCATCACATAAGCCAGGGGTGGCCAACCCTGTTCCTGGAGAGCCCCCTTCCTGCAGATTTCAGTTGCAACACATATCAAACACACCTGAACCAATTAATTAGGACCTGAACACCATGGCTGCGTCCGAAACAGCATACTTCCATACTATGTAGTATGCTAAAATCAGTATGTGAGCCGAGTAGTATGTCCGAATTCATAGAATTCGAAAATCAGTATACGAGAAGTACCCGGATGACTAACTACTTCCGGCGAGATTCCGGAGTGCGCATTCCATGCATGCTGCGCTATCCCATGCCCCGCGAGCGAATTCATGAATGGAAGTAAAGCGACGCAACTGACGCAGGTAGGTCACGTGACCATGACAAAATGGCGGATGTAGTACGTCCGAATTCCATTCATACTTTTCACATTCATACTGTATAGAACACACTTTTCTAACGGCAGAGTAGTACGTTTAAAATGCTAAAATCAGTATGATTATTTAATTTAATTTAATTTAATTTAATTTAATTTAATTTAATTTAATTTAATTTAATTTAATTTAATTTAATTTAATTTAATTTAATTTAATTTTTGGCTTAGTCCCTTTAATAATCTAGGGTCACCACAGTGAAATGAACCGCCACCTTATTCAGCACGTTTTTGCGCCGCGGATGCCCTTGCAGCCGCAACCCATCTCGCATTTAATTCAATTTTATTTTATTTTATTTTATTTTATTTTATTTTATTTTATTTTATTTTATTTTATTTATTTTTTTTATTTTATAACATGATTTTTTTTTAATTTTATTCTTTATTTTGTTTTAAACTCAATGATGAATACTTTTTCAGATCCCAGGCACCTCTCCATCTCCAACATCACTTCCTTTCAGAATCATGTGTTCAAGTGAAAAATTATGTGAAAATAATAAAGTACAAAAAAGGAAAGATACAAGAAAATAATACTTACCCTCTTCTTTATGTGTATTCATAAACTGTATTAATTTGTAATTAGTAATTGAGTCTTATTTGGTAGTTTGCATTGGAGCTTTGGCCTATATTACTAGTAACAGAGGCGTATGAGGGTTTAGCACAGCAAAGAGGTAAAACATGCCCTTTTGGAAGGTTTTGTTTATATATAAAAAAAAAAAAACACACACAAGGTGACAATTTTTAGCACCTCTCAAACAAAACAAAAAAATTGTGAAGCCACAAAGCCTGTTACCGAAGTTTGATGTGCGAAGTTGTGAAAGTTTAGAACTTTCCACAGCACTTCATTGGCTTGTAACATTATCCGTCTGAGGGCTGCTGACAGAAAGAGCGTGACTGTCAGAGTGTATTGTCTCCTGTTCTCCACCTGAGGGCTAAACGCATGACAGCTGTTATTAACAACAAACCTTTTTACTGCAGTCATTTCAGTCACAATTATGTGCACAATTCTGTGTAATAGTTCCTGACTAGTGCATGGATATCAATCTTAATCCCTTAACATTTTACTAAAACATTTTCATAACGAACGTAGCATTCTTTAGTTGTAAGAATGGGTTTTAACCACAGCGGTTCGAACTGTAGTTCTGCCGCATGACTAAAGAGTTATCAGTATTGATGGTAAAAAATCGTACATTCTAGTCAAACCATTCTTCTGTAATATCATACCAAAAATGGAAATAAAGGTAGTATTAACATCTATATAAGTGGGAGAGCATTGATATTATGTGATTTTATTGTATTGCAATATGGAACAATTAAATGTTGATACTAAATCAAACATAATTCACAAATACTTGAAAATGAGATGATTTAATGACGATTCTCTATGGTTACAACTGAATTAATTACAAAGTGAGTGTATAAAATGATCAAATATGACATGATAAAACACGTGATATAAATTGTACCCAGCTTAAATGTAAAATTAAAGTTACCAGAGGTAGAAGGAGAGACAAAGGAGGAGGGAGAGAGGTGCAAACAGAGCAGGCCCAGAAGTTAGCCTGATTGCAGTAGAGTCAAAGAAGGCAGACTCTAGAGGAGGAGGGGAGCAGGGCAGGAAAGCGCAGAGACGGAAAACGGAGGCCAGGAGACAGAGCAGAGTTTTACACCTATTTTGTATCTTTCTTGACCATGTGACTAAAGCCCAAATGCTGAGACATTTAAACTGACCAATCAACATGTGACCACATCATAAAACTGAAAAGTCCACACACCAGGCTCTGATCTTATCATTATCTGCCTTTGGAGTCAGTATGGACCTTCTTTGATGAAAGACATGTTTTTCCATATAAACAAATGCATATGATAATTTAGCCTCTTACAAGTTAAATACAAATATTCAGAAAAAAAGGAAAGCTAAATATGCTTCAACATAGGATGTTGCAAAGTAGTGACACCAGATTTCACACTTGTAATATAATGTCAAAGACAGATTTTGCACTTTAGTCATTTGTAATAGTCAGACTAATGTTTACCTTTTTTAGAAATGATTATTTATTGATATATCTGAATAGAAAAATAAATAAATAAATAAATAAATGAAATAACTTTGCTTCTCTGAATTTATAACATACAGTTTAAGTCAGAATTATTAGCCCCCCTTTCAATTTATTTTTCTTTTTAAAATATGCTCAAATGATGTCTAACAGAGCAAGAACATTTTCACAGTATGTCTGATCATATTTTTTCTTCTTGAGAAAGTCTTATTTGTTTCATTTCGACTAGAATAAAAGCAGTTTTAAAAAACCATTTTAGGAACAAAATTATTTGCCCCTTTAAGCTATATATATTTTTTGATAGTCTACAAAACAGACTATCGCTATACAATAACTTGCTTAATTACCCCAACCTGCCTAGTTAACCTAATTAACCTAGTTAAGCCTTTAAATGTCACTTTAAGCTGCATAGAAGTATCTTGAAAAACATTTAGTGAAATATTATGTACTGTCATCATGGCAAAGATAAAATAAATCAGTTATTAGAAATGAGTTATTAAAACTATTATGTTTAGAAATGTGTTGACAAAATCTTCTCTCCGTAAAACAAAAATTGGGGGAAAAATTAAACGGGGCTAATAATTCAGGGGGGTTAATAATTCTGACCTCAACTGTATATTGTCATGATTATATTTCTGACTTAATTCTTTGGGCCCTATCATACACCCGGCGCAATGTGGCGCAAGGCGTGGCGCAATAGTCTTTTGGTAGTTTCAGCTTAAGGATATATATAGGATATAATAAGAATAGATATAGAATATAAATATAAAGGATTAAAATATTACAAAACATATTATTTTCTAGCCTACATAAATATGAAAAATCACTGCTTTGATGTCTTCTTCATCTCGGGAGGCTTTTTCAGTTCATTCATAACAATATGTTTTTGTATAATGTTATTATTATTATTAGCAGTATTATTTATTATATCCATATTTATATTTGTTTTATTAAAAACAAGCTTAGATTTGCCCACTTGTCAGGTTTTAGACCATATGGGGCACAGCATGTGTTTTAGGATATAACTCAGGTTTTTGAGCACATTTTGTTATTATTATTGATTTATTCATTTGCTGGAAATTAGAACTGAATTTAGAAATAGTTTTGAAACGAATATTTGCGCTTAACAAACAAAATTTATTATTTATAGACTAATTGATGTCTGTGCGTAAAGGTTTCCCTATCCAAGAGCGAATGTGAAAGTAGTTCCATTATCTCTCATTCGCACGCAGTAGATGCTCTGTTTAACAGTTTCTGTTAAAAAACTGTGAACTGTTTGCTACTGAAATGCTCATTTTTTCCACTTAGACTTACTTTGCGTCCTGTAAATAGCGAATGCGCTCTTGGCGCGACGCAGCTGGCTCTTAAAGGTAATGGGAGATGAGACTCTAATTGGTTTATTCTCAAAACACACCTATAACTCATTAAGAAAATAAACTCAACCCTTTTAGACCATGCGCCACGGCGCAAGGCAGATTTCCCGTCCTTAAATTAGCAAAAACGTGTCCTGACACGCCCTGAAAGCGCTTGCGCCCTAAGTTTTGCGCGCTGCACATGGACCGTCAAAATAGAGCCCTAAAAATATGTTTCCTGTCTGTTCAAACTACTTATTTAAAAAGAGCTGAAACAACACAATTGTTGAATTTTTGGGGAGACAACTTAATTGTTTATGTTCAATCTACTATGGTAACCTAATTTCTTCATGTTGTCCCAACACCAATCTTTAGTGAGGAACCTAGCACTTTATACAGTGTGGATTAATTATATTTAAGATAATCAGTGAAGTCATTTCAATACCTGTTTCTCTTTGCAGTGCTGTCAAATTCTCGTGGTAAATGGAGTGGATCTGGGCATACGGGATCAGGATGGGTTCTCAGCAGCGGATCTAGCTGAATACAACGGGCATCAACAGTGTGCCAAGTATCTTCGCACTGTCGAAAACATGGTGAGAGACAAAAACACACCCGTACATCAGCAGTTGAGTTTTTGAAATGATTGTTGAAATTTACAATTACTTGTATTCTTATGTCCAGTTTAAAGGTTCACGAAACCCTTGAGTACTTTTTGAGATGTTAACAGATTTGTGTGTGTTGGGCATCAGTTAAGACAATGTTAGCACCTGTTAGCTCTAATTGTGGGAAAAATTGGATAATTTTGAGCTTTTGTCATTTAATTTCAGCTTCTGGGTTTAATGATTTTGGGGCGGGATCAAAATCGGCGACGTAGCGCAAAACTGCAAGTGTTTATTATTCATTATTATTCATAGCAGAGTTTTGTTATCCTATGAGAAGAGCCTGTGTCTTAATTAATTATGACTGTGCGTGCTTTCCAAAGGCAAGGCAGACCTGCTGTCACGGTTTGTAGAGGGACGAAGACAAAAAAGGTGTAGGATCCAAGTGCAGTTTTTTAATAAGATCGTGCAGATAACAGAAAGGCAAGACATGTAAATATCAAAGTATCAAATTAACAAGAAAAAACAAAAAAAGAATCTATGGCAGGAATCAGAATCAGGAACAAGGCTCAGAAACAAATTTAACAAAACTTACTAGACAAGAAAGACGAACGACGCAGTGATAAACAACGGGTGCAGAGTCAATAAATAGTCCTTGAAATCAAACGGAAATGGAGACAGCTGTGTATTGCAATCAGTATAAATGGAAGACCGGGTGTGTGCACGAGGGAATGTATGGATATGTAGTTCTTCAACCACTATAGTCCGCTGGCGAACTACAGTGCCATCTGGTGGTCAAAGAAAGTCATGACACCTGCCAGTGCCAAGCTGTGAGACACGGACCAACGGCACATAGTATTAAGCTGTTCATGAAGGGTCGTATGTGTTTGTTTCCATGATCCACGGGGTTTGTTGCAAGTTTTTCCCCGTGATGCTGTCAGGGCCGATACATTAAAGCTGTGTGTGTGCAGCAAGCATTTTTGTCAGGAGAGCAGTACGAGAATTGGAGAATGGCGGATGTTGTCTTTTATCAGGAGTTCATTCACATTTAGACACACTGTGCTGCTGTGTTTGCCTAAATCCTCCAGATTACCAGCAGGGCTAATGGTTAAAATCGGCAGGGCAAGAGATCTGCTGCACTGAGTCTGCATTCAGACCTATGATTCAGACCCGGGGATTAAGGGGGAAGTCCTCATTTTTAGTGTTTATATGAACACGATTATCTTTATAATTATATCAATTGTGGTTGTGTGTATATGAAAGTACGAATAACAAATACAGCAGGACATTAAATTACTGTTTATTTCTTTGCATTTTAACTTTGTAAACTATAAAATCATGCATCTCCTCATGGTTTGTCTCATTTTGTGAACCGACTGACAACAGTTGTTCCCTCCCCTCCTACTCCCCTGCTGGCCACGCCCACTCCTGCCGTTTGCTCGCAGAGCTATGATGCATCTTTAGAAAAAATTCTGAGGTAGACCTGAACCCAATTTGAGGGGTGTCATGACCCTTTCAAGAGACATTTAATGAGGAACAAATCTTTAATTGCTGAGTTTAATTAGTGGGTGATTTTTTTTTTAATGAGGAACAATAACAAAGTGCACCTTGAATTGTACATTGTATACATTGTGTGTATAGAAAATATGATTTCATGTCCCTAGTGTGGTGATGTGGTTTCTCAAACCCTCATCAACTAAATTCATTACTGCCTACAATTACCTTTTGCACAGCAAGCCACCCCCACCCCCACCTTACATGTGTATATATATGTATATATATATATATATATATATATATATATATATATATATATACAGTTGAAATCAGAATTATTAGCCCCCTTGTTTATTTTTTTCCCCCAATTTAACAGTTTAACAGAGAGATTTTTTTCAACACATTTCTAAACATAATAGTTTTGATAAATTATTTCTGATAACTGATTTATTTTATCTTTGCCATGATGACAATACATAATATTTCACTAGAAATTTTTCAAGACACTTCTATACAGCTTAAAGTGACATTTAAAGGCTTAACTAGGTTAATTAGGTTAACTAAGCAGGTTAGGGTAACTAGGCTAGTTATTGTATAACGATGGTTTGTTCTGTAGACTATCGGGAAAAAAGTTAGCTTAAAGGGGCTAGTAATTTTGTCCTTAAAATGTATTTTAAAAAAATTTAAAACTGCTTTTATTCTAGCCGAAATAATTCTGACTTCAACTGTATATATATATATATATATATATATATATATATATATATATATATATATATATATATAGAGAGAGAGAGAGAGAGAGAGAGAGAGAGAGAGAGAGAGAGAGAAAGAGAGAGATTTTATAAAACGAGCATTATCTATTGATAAAACGTGTATTTTCATATCTTAGAGATGTAATGTGTTCTCTAAAGCCACTATTGGTAATTGTTTAGAAGTGTTTTTTTTAATGAGTGTGCTTTAAAGGAAGAATTTACAAGCTGAAAAGCATTCAAATGTTCTAGTAGAACATTAAACAGGATTTTTTAGATGAAACAATGGTCATTTGTGATTCATATCATGCAAATCAATGATAACCATCATATTGTTAACTGTAATCTACAGCCTCAGGCATAAGTATCGACCAGAGTAATATTCAGTTTGCAAATGAATCATTCTTTTGAACTAGTTATTTTAAGGGAACTGGATGAACAAGTTCACCAAATTGAACTGAGCGGACTAAACAGTTCACGGCACGAGCCAGCATAGATCTAAAAGTCGCTTCATCTAAAATAAACCTCTTTCAGATGTGCCAGATAGTTGAAATGAGGCAATATACTAGAGTGTGTGTGTGATCCCAGTTATTCAAACAATACACTGATATGGAACAGTTTCAACACTCAGAAATAAAGGTACAGGAGCTGTCACTGGCAAAAGATACATATTTGTACCCAAAGAGACCACATCGGTACCTCAAAGGTGCATATTAGGGCCCAGATGTACCTAAAAAGTACCTTTGAGATACCATTATGGACCCTTCAGGTACAAATATGTACCTTTTGAAAAGGTACTGCCCCAGTGACAGCTCCCGTACCTTTATTTCTGAGAGTGAACTCAAAGTCAAAACTGACTCAAAACTGTCCAACAGAACTAATTTGTGGAAAATAATTGGTTTCCGCATTTTCCCAAGGCTGTTAATTATAGTAATGATCCCCACAAGTCATATGTTTCAGTTCATAAAACCTCAACATACATTAATGCTCCACAGGTATTCATTTTATTTTGCCTGCATGTTATTTAAACTCTAATAATAATGGTTTCATTTGACTTGCATTGTATGAATCATGAAGGAACTCAAATGTTCTACTGATAAAACAAAAAGGACACCAATATCTATATCTGGATTGTTTAAGGGTGAGTAAATGATTAGCAAATATTAATTGTTATGTGAAATGCCCCATCGGGAACCATCACAGAAGTTCAAATGGTTTTCTTTATACAAAAACCATTCAATCTAGTACATTTGAATGGTCTCAAGTGTGTTTTGTGACATATTACATACGGATTCTTTGGTTTTAACATGCCATAAAGGCAAGCACATTCCAGTAGAGACCTAAATGACAGTTTCCAGTTAAACCATTATAGTTTCCATTATAAATAATGGTTTCAATTGTTTGTTTTTTCAGCAGGGGTCTCATTAAAGTTTTCTGTAACTTACGCCTAACTTTAACACTTGTTTTTACCTCAGAGCGTGGAACATCGAGTCTTATCAAGGGACGCTTCGGCAGATTTGGAGTATAAGCAACCAGACTCAGGCCTGTCCTCTCCCAACGCTACCCTGCCCAACCCAGCACCCCCTGCAGGCCACTTTGACATCTGCTCACCCTCAAGCTCATTGTCCAATTACGACTCGGCGAACTCCAGCCAATCCAGTACTGGAGAGAAAAGGAGCGGTTCACCTCCCTCACGCGTACCAACAGGTTAGAGAAACATAACATAAAATCCCAACAGTCCGAGTTTGCTCGTGTACATCTTGCTAAAATTGGTGTAACTTGAACATATGATGTTTAAAAAACAAAAATCCCAGTAACGTCAGGGTTTAAATGAGCAATATGACGCCAGTAAGTAGTTTTGTTATTAAAATATGTCTAATAGACGTCTAAACATAGTCGTCTTAGCTAAAGCGAGGCTAAATTTGGGCTGTCAGTAAAAATCTAATAGACTTCTAATAATAGGCCAAAACTAGTCATAAAAATAAACAGAAATGAATGACTACACATATAAAGTCTGTCTTATTTGTCTATTTGATGACTAGTTTAGTTTTCGCATATTCTTAATCGTTCACAATCACGTTCACTTGGGGCTTCAGCGTCAACGCTTGACTGAAGGCGTGTCTGAAGTTGGGGCTGACGCGATCATCATAGCATCGTCAGCCAATGAAATTCAGTCAGCAATAGGCCACTGTCTAGCTGGTGTATTTGCATAGAGCTATCTGATTGGCTGACACTTCCATCGGCGCTTGAAAAGTTGAGCTAGTCCCAACTTCTGCAGCGAGCAACACCTATGAAGCGGCGCAGATGGATCCACAATGCAGTTCGGCAATGCCTGACATCACCTATTCAAAGTGAATGAGAAGCATTGACGCTGAAATTAGTGCCCCAGCAGTGTTGATAAACAGCCATATCCCATTGCTATGAGTGTTATATTGTATTTATACAACAGTTCGATGACATAATCCTGTATATAAAAAAGAAAATCAAACACGGAGAGTCTCAAAAACCTTTTCTGTGTGAGAAAAGCTTTTCTGGTGCGCACTCCGTCTTTCTCGCGCATTCATTCTCAGCTTTCTATTGACCTTTGTCCAGTCTGGCAACTCCTACAAAAGGCGTCTTCTTTACGGTGGTTGGTTGGCATCTACCAATTCCACAATACGTCGCCGCTGTAAACAGGAAGATGTAGGCTAGACTACAGTCAAAATTAATTAACTTACCGAGTAACAGATAAACGCATCATATTGTAACAATAACGAAGCTATTATATTTAAAAAGTAATGCAGTATTAGTTACTATCAAAAGTAAGGCTGTTACAGTAACACATTACTAGAACGTGGTATTGTTCAACACTGATAAACACATATAATAAACATGTTTTAACAGCGGTTAGTTTACTTTTATTAGTTGGTTCTGAAGCATTTCCATAGGTTAACCACTTTAGGATTGTGCCCGTAAGTTAAAATCTGCGTATTAATGATTTTATAGTACAATCGAATTTGTTTCACTAACAAATATGAAGACATGTCACTTAATAATCGGATAGAACAGAACTTGCAAGGAGAAAGACGAAATTCTTGTAAAAAAATCATTCATTTATTATTTTTCCTTCGGTTTAGTCTCTATTTCAGAGGTCACCACAGCAGAATGTACCACCAACTACTTTATTCCAACATATGTGTGACGCAGTGGATGCCCTTTGTGCCACAACCCAGTATTGGGAAACACCTATACTCATTCATTTACTCACTCATACACTACGGCCAATTTAGATTATTCAATTGACCTATAGCCTATGTCTTTGGACTGTGGGGGGAAACCTGAACACCTGGAGGAAACCCACGCCAACACGGGGATATAATATAATAATATCATAACTCCACACAGAAATGCCATCTGGCCCAGCGGGGGCTCAAACCAGCAACCTTCTTGCTATGAGGTGACATTGCTAACCACTGAGCCAACATGCCGCCTTCTTGTAAAAATGAGTCAATATAATACTAACAATAAATCTGTTGTCCAGCATGTAAATTTAAATACCGTGACACAAGATGTTCTTTTATCATCTCCTGCAATCCCGTGTTTTGAATAGAAGCCAAACACCCCTCAAAAATGTGTCCCAAGCACAATGCAGTGTAATTGAAGCATTATCTTAACAATGGTGGGAAAAACTGAGCTCACTGAAGCGGAACACATGTTGCCATAGTGTTGTCCAGGAAACCTGCTGTGAGCATGTCCTCTAGTGGACACATTAGGAAAGTCTATACTCTACTGAGGAAGGCATTTCCTAGTTAGAATGCAGAATACTTTTAGCTGTGTGTAGAACAAATAAATAAGACTTTTTAAAAGAGATAGTTCATCTAAAAATAAATCTTTACTCACTATTTCATCACCTTCAAGTGGTTCCAAACTCTTTATGAGTTTCTCTACTCCGTTGAACACAAAATAAGACATTTTGGAAAAAAGCTGAAAACCTGTAACCATTGACTTTTATAGTAGATAATGCAAATGCTATGAAAGTCAATGGTTACAGGTCTGCAACATTTTTTCTGAATATCTTCTTTTGTGTTTAACAGAAGAAATGAACTCATAAAGGTTTTAAACAAGTAAATTGTAGGGATTATTTACAGATTTAAAACAAAGAATGACCAGTCTATCAGATGAAGAAGAGCTGGAGTCAGAGATTTAAATTAATAAAATAAAGTTTACTGAAGATAGTTTGCAATTTCATCAGCAGAAGCAAGCTTCAACACTCGCGATGAGTTCCTAGAGTTCCTATACTCTCACATAATGTCATTAACAGCATCATACATATAAGTGTTCTAACCTGATTGGTTAAAACACAGATAGACTAGAAAAGTTTCCACGTGGGTGCGTGTGTACAAATCTGAGCAATATCTTAAGCGTATTAATGTCAGACATCCACTAGACTGTTTAGAGCTGACTCCAGACCTGTGAAACAGATCCACAATCAAATATAACACACACACTTAAAGTATAATCTGTTTCTTATCCGAGAATGTATATCTGAGAATGTAGTGTATTCCTAGCCGTCTTTATCAAAACTGGTTAAATAATCTACATTCAGGCAGTTGTAATATCCTTAATACACAAAGTCTATCTTGAATAAAAAGTAGAATCGCTTTAAAAGAATTAACCATAAAAATAGCAAAACGACTTTAGACATTTTAGATAGTAATAACTCATAGAAATAACAATAGAAAGAGTTGTTTCCAGTCCTCAGCCCTTCAGTTCCACTCAAGGTCTCCGTGACCTCTGACCTAGTTTGTTGGCTCCTGAAAATAGTTACAGAGACAGGCAAATGCACTGAACATTCTTACATAAAGCAGTGTGTTAACTTATTCATTAGTTAAAATCATTTCAAAGTTACAAACTCATTTATATAATCAAATAATCATATAATGAGAAACAGGATGATGAGAAAAGGATAAAAGTTAATCATGCTGAGAAGAACTGGAAGGTATAAATCCGAATCCTTCAAAATTATGGCAGAATTTTCATTTTTGGGTGACTTATCCCTTTAAATACCGTTAAATCTAATTTAATAAATTGTATACATTATTATTTCTCCTACAAATATCAACCACTGTTATATTTGTAGTAAATCTATAGTAGTCGTGTTTTTGTTGCAATAATTGCCAATTGCTGGCTCAGTGGTTTGCGCTGTCGCCTCACAGCAAGAAGGTCGCTGGTTCGAGTCCCGGGTGGGCCTGTTGGCATTTCTCTGTGGAGTTACATTCGCTGTGAAAAACATATGCTCAATAAGTTTGCGGTTCATTCCACTGTGGTGACCCCTGATGAATAAAGGGACCAAGCCGAAGGAAAATGAATGAATGAATAATTGCCAACGAGGCGACATGGTGGTGCAGTGGGTAGCACGATCACCTCACAACAAGAAGATCTCTGGTTTGAGTCCTGTCTGGGCCAGTTGACATTTCTCTGAGGAGTTACATCCGCTGTGAAAAACATATGCTTAATAAGTTGGCGTTTTATTCCACTGTGGCGACCCCTTGTGAATAAAGGGACCAAGCCGAAGGAAAGTAGCACGATTGCCTCACAGCAAGAAGATCTCTGGTTCGAGCCCCGGCTGGGTCAGTAGGCATTTCTGTGTGGAGTGTGCATGTTCTCTTCGTATTGGCGTGGGTTTCCTCCAGATGCTCCAGTTTCCCCCACAGTCCAAACACATGTGGTATAGGTGAATTTAATAAAATAAATTGGTCGTTGTGTGTGTGTGTGTGTGTGTGTGTGTGTGTGTGTGTGTGTGTGTGTGTGTGTCTGTTTGTGTCAATTAGTGTGTATGTTTGCTTCCCAGTACTGGGTTGCAGCTGGAAGGGCATCCGCTATGTAAAACATATGCTGGATAAGTTGGCGGTTCATTCCGCTGTGGCGACCCCTGATAAATAAATGAATTCAGCTTTTTTTATTTGTATAGCGCTTTACAATGTAGATTGTGTCAAAGCAGCTTCACATAAATGGTCATAGTAACTGGAACAGTGTAGTTCAGTTTTTAGTGTTTAAGTTCAGTTCAGTTTAGCTCAGTTCAGTGTGATTTAATCATTACTGAGAGTTCAAAACACTGAAGAGCCAATTCATCGATGCGTAGCTGAACGTAGCGTGAATGTATAATTGCCAATTGTACTGTAACCACAATTTAACAAAAACTGTAACAAAAACAACCACAAACACCACTCATGAACTAAGATTGTTTCAAAAGCATGGTTGATTTGTAGTTTCTACAATAATGTGAGCTATTAAAAGAAATTTCACATATGTTCATCTATTAGCATTTGATTAAAGCAATATGTTTTATTGCAGGAGGCACAGATTCAGCCATTACTGACATGCAGACCTATATGGACATGCTCAATCCTGATGAAGCATGTGGTTCCCATAATGCGAAAGAGGCTGCACACCTGCCGCCCCCTCCTACATTTCCTCCACCCCCACCGCCATCAAATCCTTCCCATATCCCACCTCCACCTCCTGCCTACCCCGCACCCAACCCACCTGAGGAGGAGGAGGTGTCCGCTGAATACTTGAAGGTGAAGAGGAACCTTCGCAGAGTCGACAATGATGTAGTCAAAAAGGAGGTATGCGATACATTTTCTTGTTGTTTATTTTTGCATGCTGGAGTTAGGATAATCTAGCACTGCAACGCAAAATAGAAAATACGTCTGTAAAGCAACACTCCCCTTTTTATGTGAAATAAGTTAATTTTAAAAGTCCCTTAGAGTTAAATAGTTGATTTTTAAATCTATTCAGCCAATCTTTGATGTGAGCACTATTAGCTTAGCTTAGCATAAATCATTGAATCGTATTAGACCATTAGCATCTCACTGAAAAATTGTCTGTTAAAAGATTGACACTTCTGTAGTTACATCCTGTACTAAGATAGATGGAAAATTAAAAGTTGCTATTTTCTAGGTCGATATGGAACTATACTTTCAATCTGACTAACATTACTAATGCTTTGCTTCTTAGACTTTACACACCTGAAACTTGCCTACAGCACTTATTCATTGTTGCTCTTATAGTTGTGTAAATTGCTTCCTTGTTCTCATTTATAAGTCGCTTTGGATAAAAGCGTCTGCTAAATGACTAAATGTAAATGTAATAATCAAGGAACTTTTCTGCTGTATCGCATCTCACAGCATTTACCTAGCTTGGTATGTTGCAACCCAGGCTCATTCTGGAAACGTTTCTAGAGACCGCGAAATACATCCCGGGAGGTACGTATTTGAGTAGTTTTTGTTTTTGCGAATCCGCGAGAGGCTGCTGTGTGCGCTTTTTCGCGTCTCGACTGCCTCTCGCAAGCGCTGTTTGCGCCTTCGCTGTTCTCACGTATAGCCACCAGAGGCCGCTGTCGAGCGACTGTCTGTCCGACTGACTGTCCATTGACTGGGCGGCCGGCCAATTGGCTGACCCACCCTCCTCCTCCTCATCCTCCCCCTTCCCTAAACCCAAGCAATGATTTACAAAAGCCATCCAGAAAAAGAAAAGCCCTCGTCTGATTTTGACTACGTTTTCGGATTTCGCCACATTCTTGCCCCGTCATGAACTCGTTCGCTTCATTTTTTATATTCTGTTTTTTGTCTTACCTGATTTCTGAAACCACTCTTCCCCATACTCGAACCCGGTCGACGCAGTCGGTTCCCCTCTGGGCCTCCGCTCCGCCGATGTAACACGATGAGCTACCCGGACAAACTGGTTGCGGCGGGAAAGCTCTCCACACGGAGGTGACCCGTCAGCCAGCGAGCGCGAAGAAGAGCGGCGTCACACCGCCCTGTAGCGTTCGATTGAAAAAATTAAATACAGCCATATGTACCTCCGGCCACGTAAATCGCAGTCTCAAGAAACGTCTGCAGGGCTACGTTTTCAGAATGAGCTTGGGTTGGTATTGTTTTTGTTCACTGCATAATGTCATTGTGCTTGCTTCAGCAATGGTAAGACAGCAAAGTTCCTTGTTCATTACACCAGAATGAGATAGTTCCTAGCCTAATCCTACCAACTTATAAAATAGCAACTTTTCATCTTTTTATTATCTGTCAGTCTTAGTACATGATGTAGCAACAGAAGAGTCAAGATTTAAATAGGAAAACTGTCACAATTCGTTTTTGAAAGCAAGATGCTACTGGTCTAATCCGATCGAATGATTTATGCTAAGCTAAGGTAAAAGTGCTCCCGTCAGACTCAGTTATCAGCTGAAGAGGTTCAAAAAGGTAAAACTCAACTGTTTAACTCAAGAGGAATTGTAAAATTGGCCTATTTCCAAAATTTAACAATAGAAATATTAATATATAAAACTTCATCTTCTGAAATATACATTTTCTATGAAAATTAAACATGCATCAAAAACATGGTTACTAGTTAGGGCTTCAGACATTTTTTGAATCAATCCCAATTCCAATTCCTAGTTATGGAATCAATGGACTCCAGATTACGATAATTGATAAAATCCTTCATGTCATACATCTGTTTTTTCTTATATGTGCTCAAAACGTTCTGTTTTGGATAATAATCCAGTTTTACCATGTATGCTAAAGCCATTTACATAAAAGGCATATACAACAACAACAACAACAACAAAAACTATGTGTATCAGTGCCCATGTGTGCATTAGGTACATTAACTAGAATTAATTTTAATATTTGAATATGGAAATACCATAACCAGCTCCTAGATATTACACAATGGCATAAGTGAACTGTAAATATTTGAACCAGTTCAGTAAAGTGAACCATTCATTAAAGAGAACCTAATTTTGGAATCGACTCTCAATTCTCAGATCATCTAAATCATCTGATTTGTTTTGGAATTGACTCCCGGCCTTAACTATACTACTTTTAATTGCAGAATATCCAGTTCCCTTTTACTGAATTGTATCTGATATATAGAGATCAATCAAATCAATCTTTTTTTTTTTTTTGTGATGTGGGGTTCGTGACTATGTTTCATGTCTGTTACCTGTGAGGACATCTATATGAAAGTGTGGTAGCATCTTTATTCATGTTAGCAAGGTGCTAAAATGTAAACAAACCTCGTGGCAACAGATAAACCATTAAAAAGTTAGTATTGTGTTAACCATTCAATGTGCTGATGTACTAAAAATGTGCTAAAACATGCCAGCAGTGTGGTAAAATGTAAACAACCAAACAAACCAGGTAGCAACAGCTAAACCATTCAAATCCCGCTTTGCAATTGTGCAATTGTGTTAAACAATTGCTAGCAATGTGCTAAATTATAAACAAAGGAAAAAGAATGGTAGCAACAGCTAAGACATTTAAAACCTAGCATTGACTTTAAACGTGTTAGCAATATGGAAAATGTGCTAAAAATTAATGTTAAAAACATGCTAGTAATGTGATAAGTCAGGCTAGTAAACTGGTAAATCATGTATTAATGTGAGTGAAAGAAATGAAATGAAAGAAATAATCATTACTTAATAGTTTTATTATGACTTAAATTGAATAGGTGACATAATCAATTAAGTTACTCTGTAATAAGACCATCACTTGTAAAAACACTGCATGATTCAGGCTCAAACATACATTATTGTAATATTATTAGAGCTCATGTTGAAACTCATGTTGTGGAGGATAAATAAACTATAATTATTAAGTTTCACATAAAAGTTTCCTTCCATTGTTGATAAAACTGCACAATGCAGTAGGGGAGCTATTTTAGTTATTACTATTGTGAGTCAAATTTGATGAAAGTGACTATCTATACGGTCAGATAATGTTGCGCACTGCCTCATTTGAGTGATCATACAGTAGCCTATGTTGCTTTTGATCAAACAAATTAGACGCCATGAGGATTAAAGGCTTGAATCGCAATGTTCCTACATTGAATGTAAAGCGATCTTTTTTTTTTACTAATGGACTAATCCCGTATGCTCTTTTTTTGTTCTCGTGCATGTCAGGCCCACAATCACTGCTGCACATGAGCATCTAGCACAATGTGAAGGTCAGCAGCTCAAATTAAATAGACTTTCAGAAACTATCTATGCAAGCAACTCTGCATTGCATGCAAAACAGCATACAAGAGCTAGACATCAAACCAATAAAAAACCAGCATTGTGTTAACCAGGCTAGCAATGTGCTAAATTGTAAACAAACACACAATCTGCTAGCAATAGCTAAACTGTTAAAAAGCTAGCATTGTGTTAAACATCCCTGTTGAAAAACCGCATATGCATATGCTGGTAAGGTATGTTTTGATGCTGGTCTTGCTGGTTTTATTGCTGGTTTTGCTTGTATCTATGCTGGTTTTGCTGGTTTTAGTTCTGGTCTCAGTGCTGGTCTTGCTGATCTCTGTACTGGTCCTGACCAGCTTTGAGGCCAGCAAGACTAGCATTGGGACCAGCAAGACCAGCATTAAAACCAGAAAGACCAGCACAGAGACCAGCAAAACCAGCAATAAAACCAGCAAGACCAGCATACCAGCATCAAAACATACCTTACCAGCATATGATGTTTTTTTCAGTAGGGATGCTAGCAATGTGCTAAACTATAAACAAACAAACAAACATGGTAGCCACAGCTAAAACATTTAAAACATGGCATTATGGTAAACAGGCTAGCAATGTGCTAAATTGTAAAAAAACAAAAAAAACACACACACAAACCTGCTAGCAACAGCTAAACCGTTAATAAGCCAGCATTGTGTTTAACAGGATAGCAATGTGCTAAATCGTAAACAAATAAACATGGTAGCAACAGCTATATCATTAAAAAGCTAGCATTGTGTTAAACAGGCTAGCAATGTGCTAAATTGTAAACAAACAAACATGGTAGCAACAGCTAAAACATTTTAAACCTAGGATTATGTTAAACAGGCTAACAATGTTTTCCCAGAGATAGGTTGCGGCTTGAAGGACATCCGCTGGATAAAAACGTGCTGGATAAGTTGGTGGTTCATTCTGCTGTGGCGACCCTAGATTAATAAAGGGACTAAGCCGACAAGAAAATGAATGAATGAATGAATGAAGGCTAGCAATGTGCTAAATTGTAAACAGACAAACAAGCATGGTAGCAATAGTTGAAACATTTTAAACCTAGCATTGCATTAAACATGCTAGCAGTGTGCTAAATTGTAAATAAACAAACATGGCAGCAACAGCTAAACTGTTAAAAAACAGTTGTGTTAAACAGGCTAGTGATGTGCTAAATTATAAACAAATAAACATGGTAGCAACAGCTAAACAATTAAAAAGCTAGCATTATGTTAAACAGGATAGCATTGTGCTAAATTGCAAACAAATATGGCAACAACAGCTAACCGTACTGAAAAAAAAACTACTTAAACCTGGTTAGCTGGTTTTAGCTGGTCGACCAGCCTGGTTGTAAAGAGGTTTTAGACATTTCGAGGTTTCCAGCCATTTCTAGCCTGGTCTTAGCTGATCAGGCTAGGAGATGGAGCCAAGCCAAAACCAGACATGTCCATCTTAAACCACGCTGGTCAAGCTGGTTTTAGCTAATTTTAGCTGGTCATTTTCCAGCCTGACCAGCTAAGACCAGCCTAGAAATGGCCAAAACCCCTCTAAAACCAGGCTAGTCGACCAGCTAAAACCAGCCAACCAGCTTAAGCT